TTGAAAGCATTCTTTAGAATTTAGACATTTGGGGAAATATCGTGTCGACCTTTTTTTTAATTTGCATTAGTTGACATGTCTGTGTGCAGATGAAGATTTATCGTAACTAATACACTTCTGACTCAGATTAATGCGATTACATAAAGGCTAGCAGATTTTCTTATTGCATTACACTTATTGCATTCTTTGGCTCTTTCAGACTTCTGAATAGCTGAATTAACGTATATATTTGAAAGTAAAAAAACAAACAAACATGTTTTATCTACACTGCGTATTTTACGTTTGCTGAAGATAGAAGAATAATTACTTTTTTTAATGATTTACTTTATTAACATCTGAGTAAATAAGAAGTAAATGTAAGAAGTATACATATATTTGTATGAAATATATATGCTAGATTTAATAAATACATATACTAGGCTAATAGTTTGTATGAGAACTTTGCTGGACTTCCCAAATCCTGATTCCTTTCTAAACAGTTCAGTTGCGTACAATTTGTAACACTTTGGAAACTCCCAAAAACTGGAATAAAAGGATTCCGGTTTAATGTTTCTCTATCCAATGAGAGCGTTTAATCGGCTCTGCGACCAAGTGTCTTGTCTAAAATCCCCTCCTATATTGCTCTCTGATTGGCAGGCGTTTTTAAACAGCTCCGCCTTTATTCAAATGCCTGCTCAGCGGTAGGCTGGCCCTGCTGTCAATCAAACGCATCAGCGCTATATAAGGTCCACTCTCTCGAAAGCGCTCAGACGCTGGAGGATGCGGCCGGGAGCAGCTTCTGCGGCTGGGAATCAAGTGCACTGGTCGTTCTCATCAGTTTTCTCGCCTCCTCCCGCAGATATGACCGAGAACATCTGAATAAAATCGCATTCCTAGATGTCCCGTCCACTTTGGGTTAGTTTATTTCACGCCTGAGGATTATATTGTGGACTCTAATGGCTTTTAAAGACTCCTGAGGGGGGATTCCTAAAGCTCTTCCTGGACCTGGACAGAACTGTACCTACCTGTCAATATGTCCAGCTGGAGTGTGATGGTCTGTACGCACAGGGCTTATGGAATATAGCCTGTTCTGTCACCATTTTTACGCACTCTCCGTCAGTCCCGTGAAGAAGAAACTCGGGCTCCTCTTCATCATGCTGCTCCTCTGGGTCTACATGCTGTACTCCTGCGTGGGCTACTGTGCCACTATGCCACCAAGTTTAGTTGTGAACAATAATAATAACCGAGCGAAGGAGACGGATTTCCTCGGGAAATATGCTGAGGCAGAAAGTGGCCGGCCGGACCTGATGATGTCCAAGCTCCTGTCCAGACCGCAGAGCTCGTGGACCGACGTAGAGTCAGATTATGATGAGCCTACGGTCCGGAGAGCTCCCAGAGACTTCAATAAAGATGAAGTAGATTTGGACCGAGATGAGGAGTGGGACGACGGGCGGAGAGTTTACCCGCTGTCAAGTTTCTCCAACGGCTCGGGCAGTAAGAAGCTGCCTCAGGCGATCATTATCGGCGTGAAAAAGGGCGGAACGCGCGCGCTGCTGGAGTTTCTGCGCGTGCATCCAGAT